ATAGCAGGCAGAGAGGCAGGCAGAGAGAGAGGAGGAAGCAGGCTCCCCTAGAGAGCAGAGAGCCCGATGCGGGGCTCGATCCCAGAACTCTGAGATCATGACCTGAGCCGAAGGCAGCGGCTTAACCCACTGAGCCACCCAGGCGCCCCCAGAGTCTCTTCTGATAGCTTTATGCAGTGGATCAATGAGGATAACCTCAGAGAATTTGCACATGGAATCTTCAGCAACCCAATAAGAATTCAGGACTCGTAAAGCCCCGCAGTGGTGTCTAGCTCGCTCATCTGTAACAGACTGAAGGCCTCGGGCAATCTGCGCCCAGTTAATTCCATGATGGGCAGGCTTGCCTTAGGTCTTACCCTTAGGATCTGGGTGTTCTTGGCCACTGCGTTGCACACGAATCCAATATATGACACAGCCTTGCTCAGTCTTGTAAAAGGGAGGTACTTTTGGATTTACAAATATTTTTATTCGGATTTCATCTGTCAGTTTTAACTATCTTTAAAAAAAACTAATTTGGGAACTCAAGTGTTACAAAGCAGAACTTTCAGTCGTAAGGGCTCTTACCATATTAACATGCTGCCAAGTTAATTCATTTTTTGCTTTTCCTATCATCTCATTTTTTTTTTAAGATTATTTACTTATTTATTTGACAGACAGAGATCACAAGTAGGCAAAGAGGCAGGCAGGGGTGGGGGGGGCGGGAAGCAGGCTTGCCACAGAGCAGAGAGCCTGACATGGGGCTTGATCCCAGGACCCTGGGACCATGACCTGAGCCGAAGGCAGAGGCTTCAACCCACTGAGCCACCCAGGCGCCCCATCCTATCATCTCATTTAATCGAAGGCTATCCTGATAGGGAAGGCTAAACTGTTGAAAATAAAAACAAACTACAAAAAATAACTTGCTGGCATTTGCAGATACTGCTCTCCATCAAATTTAATTTACAATCAAAACAAAATGCAGGGCGCCTGGGTGGCTCAGTGGGTTAAGCCTCTGCCTTCAGCTCAGGTCATGATCTCAGGCTCCTGGGATAGAGCCCTGCATCGGGCTCTCTGCTCAGCAGGGAGCCTGCTTTTCCCCCTCTCTCTGCCTGCCTCTCTGCCTCCTTGTGATCTCTCTGTCAAATAAATAAATAAAATCTTTAAAAAAAAATGCAAAAATAAATCAAATTCTGTAGTGGATATTTAGGAATGCAACTGACATACATAACTCCTATTTTTATTGTTTTATATTAGAAGAGACTTACTTATTCCCATTGACTGATTTTATAATAAATTCATCTTATAAATCCAAACTAATTCATCAGTTCCAATTGTGGATTTATCTGATCTAATTGTGGCTTTATCTGCTACTTTGGGGAAAAACAAATATTTACAAATAAATATTTGTGTATTCTTTGGTAAGCATTTATTAACACTGTTACGTGACAGGCATGTAACACGTAACATACTCTAGGCTAAGGATATATTTGACAGGCTACAAACTAATAGCCTTTGGCTAAACACAAACCTTTTGGGTTTCCGCGTAATTGTGCATTTAGAAGAATAAAGACTTTATTGATTTAAGAATACTTTGAAACCGCTGTTTTGTAAAGTGTCCTATCTCTTCCAGACAGTTGACTACCACTCTTGGTTTTGCAGAGGTCCAGCTGGAGTAAGAGCCCAAGCCCTGGATAGAGATGGAAATCTGGTAGAAGATTTTGTATTTGATGGAGGAGTTGGAGATATTGGAAATCGCATTCTTCATGTGAGAAATGCACCCTCCCCTGCAGCTACTTCTTCTCTTGCAATTTCTGGAATGATTGCAGATGAAGTGCAACAAAGATTTAAATTGTAAATAATGTAAGGAGCTAGGTATGCATTTTAATTTCCATATTCAACAATAAGAATATACTAATTGCATCCTTTAATTTAAGGAAAATGATTTGAAAATCTCCTTTTTAGGTATCCTAACAACTGAATTGTTAGAATGCTGTAACATAGAAATAATAATTTTTTAAAGTCCATCCCCTTTCACTTTGTGAATAAAGAAGCAAGGTACAGTTGTATCTGTCCTGAATCCCTTTGTTATTGACTTGTCCTTACCAACCATGATCTAGAGATTTGGCTTTCTAGAATTTCTGGGAATGATGTGACAAAAAATTGATTGTTCCCTTAACTTTTTGGCTTTATGATTTCTAAGCTTTTTATTCTCTGCTAAATAAGAAAATACAGTATATTGGAGGTTGCAAACCTCCTTTTAGTTTTGAAGAGTCATAAGAAAGCTCACATTATTTGGAGCAACAGTATTTGTATTTGGGATTTTAAAATTCTTGATTTAAAGAAAATATATGAAATTTCACATTTTTAAGTAGTTTGAATAAGATTCTATCTAGCTATAATATTTGTAAGAAATAACTTTGCAAAAGAAACGTAAAGTCTTTATTATTTCCAGTCTTTTTATAACTTAGTGTGGGATTACCACTAAATCCAAACAGCAGTTCACTATGAGTGGTTCTTGCTGACTCTTTATAGTCTTTTGTGGTTGAGAAAAGAGAATTTAGGATTTAGAACTGATAGGTTTTTATGAGAGCAGTTTTAGGATCCTAACACTGATATATAGAACTCTGTAATTTTAAAAATTATTTACCTCTATATCTCTGTTTTTCAGTCATACCAAGTTTCTCAAACATTGGCCAAGATCACTAATTATTCATGCCTACTTAGTTTTCAGGGATCCTATGAACTTTTATGAGGATATTTCTTCATTTGGGGGAAATAACCTAACTTTGAGGCATTCACTTTTGTAAACCGCAAAAGTGCCTTACATTCATGTGTACTTCATGAGTATTTCAAATTATGGCCCAGTGCCGGTACTGTATATTGTATATATGTGTGTGGTATCTGTTGAAATGATTCTTGCAGTTCAGAAAGTTGGAAAATAGAAATATAAATGAATTTATGGCCGCCTCTTGATTGGGAAAACTTTTATTACAGAACCATCATGTAGGTGAAACATTTTCATTCATTCCCTCATATATATGCTCTCTCAGGATTAATTTTCCACTCTTCTTTCTTTCCCCGTATCTTTCCAAATCTATGTGATAGATAAGTAAGGATGTACATTTTGACTGATAGGAAAAACTTCTGTTTTCTTCCTTTTCACTTCAAGCCTCAGTGATTACATTGTTTGAGCTACCTCAACCATTAATTTGAAAGGCTGTATCACCAGCTTATGTTCAAGAAGTAGCACATCCCAGGTATAGACAAGGCAATTATTTGACACTTGGGATGAGCATTCAGAAACCACTCACAGAAGAAACCAGCCCTAATGGTTCTTCATAACAACTGATTCCTCCAAGAAATGTGACACACAGGATATTTTTCTGTTCCATTACAAGACTATTAAGAGATGGAAAATTTTACAATTCTCTATTTCATAAACAGTGAGATTGCATATATACTAAGCTGTGAAAGACTGAAGTTACAAAAATAACTATCCTAATTAAAGCAACCCCTATTCCATTTGGGTCTATATTATACCCCCAAAAAATACAAGTGAAAAATTATTGAAAGTGAATGTGTAGGTTATTATGTTTGTAAAACATTTTATATTTATATTAATTGGGTTTGTTGTGTAATACTGATATTCTATTTAAAAGTTTTGTGTACTTCTGAAAGAAGAAGAATGTAAATTAATATTAAAATATTTTAATGAGCCTTAGTATTGTGAACGTAATTTTTAGTTTCATAAAAACTCTGATTCAAGTAAATGTTTGGTGTGTGAAACATGAACTATCATAGTTCTAAATAGCAGCCAATTTTAAAAAAAATGAAAAAACTAAAAAAAAATGAAAAAAAAAATGAGGTTTATATTTTAAGTAAAAAGTAGAGCACTTCCCCACTTACGAAAATGGCTTTCCATTTGGTAATGGTGGCAATATGTGGCTGACCTCAGTGTCATCTTCATACCCCAGAGCAGCAGGGAACATTGTTTCCGTTCCATAGCAGAATATGTAAAACACACAATGCTTTGCAGGAGGTTGATGGGGGGGGCAATAAATCAAATTGGAGTTTCATAAATAGTTTCTCTTAGGAAGACAATCTGGTCTGTTCTGCCTTACGGGGTTGAGTTTCTGGGCATAAGCTTCCCATAAGGGTTATAGGGCAAATTATCTGTCTGAGAGCCTGCTCCAACTTCTTTTCAGCAGGTGGACTGTAACAGGACCAGAGTTAGCTACAACAACAAACCATGAAAGTGAGTGACAATGACATATATTGTTTCCGGTGGCATTGCTTTGGCTTGCTTCTGACTGGCAACACTTGTGGCTTTAAATAAATTGAGGAAGTAGGAGAGAGTAAATGAGAGAAATGTTGAGTAAGTCCTTCTTGAAAATGCCTTTCAGTGGGAGAATATTAGTGGTACATTATCTCTGCCTTTGAAAATTTGAGATGTGCTTAGATTATTCAAGTTATCTCCCCAAAGCCATTCTAAGTTCTAAAAAGATAAAATTACTATTTATCAAATAATTAATATAACATATTAATTTTAACTCAGATTTATGATCAAGTATTGTATGTGTTTAATACTTCCATTTTTTTTTATTTAAAAAGATTTTATTTATTTGAGAGAGAGAGCAGGGGGAGAGGCAGTGGGAAAGGGAAAAACAGGCTCCCTGCTGAGCAGAGAGCTTCCTGCTGGTGGAGTTTGATCCCAGGACCCTGGGAATATGACCTGAGCCAGAGGCAGACGCTTAACCCACTGAGCCACCCTTGCACCCCCAATACTTACAGTTTTTTAAAAAGATTTTATGTTTAAGTAATCTTTACACCAACATGGGACTCAAACTCACAACCTTGAGATCAAGAGTCTCAGCCTCTACTGACAGCCAGCCAGGCACCCCCAATATGTCCATTTTTTTAACACTTTAATCAAGTGTTTATAATGGGGTTGGAAATTTTTTTAAAAGATTTATTTGACAGAGAAGGAGAGCATAAGCAAGGGGAGCAACAGGCAAGGGAGAGGGAGAAGGTGAAGCAGGCTCCCCCCTCAGCAAGGAGCCCCAAGTGGGTCTCAATCCCAGGACCCTGGGATCATGACCTGAGCTAAAGGCAGACACCTAACTGACTGAGCCACCCAGGTGTCCCCATGTTCAATATATTTAAGAGCCATTTATATTTCGTTTTCTGTGAACTGTTTTTTCATATATTTTATCCATTTTCCCCCTCAAGTTTTGATCTTACTAATTTGTAGGAACTATTTATTTGTGTGTGTGGTTTTTTTTAAATATTTTATTTATTTATTTGACAGAGATCACAAGCAGGCAGAGAGGCAGGCAGAGAGAGGGGGAAGCAGACTCCCTGCTGAGCAGAGAGCCCGATGTGGGGCTCGATCCCAGGACCCTGGGATCATGACCTGAGCCGAAGGCAGACGCTTTAACCCACTAAGCCACCCAGGCGCCCCTATTTATTTGTTTATTTATTTATTTATTTGAAGTAGGCCCCACATGGAACCCTACACAAGGCTTGAACTCATGATCTGAGATTGAGACCTGAGCTGAGATCAAGAGTCATTTTTAACTTTCTGAGCGACCTAGGTGCCCCTGTAGGAACCCTTTTAGATATTAAGGAAACCCAAGTATTTAGAAATGAGTTGCAAATATTTTTTTCGATTTGTCACCTGCCTCTTGGCTTACCTTGTGATTTTTTTTTCCGTTCATTTTTAAAAATAGGTTTTCAATCTTCTACATTTTATTTCATAGTAGAAAGGTCTTTCATATTCTGAAGTTACAAATTATTTTATGGTTTTAATTTTTTACATTTAAGTCTTTGACACTTCTGCAGTTCATCCTAGTGTGGAGTGTGGGGTATGGATCCAACATTTTATTCTGGATGGCCCATTTGTCTTGTTGGGATTTTTACGGGTTTCATTCTTAGATTATCCCCCACATGCACGTAGATCACATTTCTGTTTGCCTAGCTTAGAGATCACAACTCAGAATCCTGTAGAGACTAGGCAGGTTACATAAAAGGGTGGAGAGTGCCAGGTAGGGAGTATAGCCAACTGGAAATGGGATGGCATACTTTTCTAAAGAGGGCAGCCACTACCCACTGCCTGATGATTATTCCTTTGCAGGAATGCAGCAGGGCCCAGTGTTGTGAGATTTTTGTCAAGAGAATGGAAATCCATTTTTATATAAAAATCTCTTGATTTTAAAATGTTAACAATTTTAAACTTTAAATATAGATCTAGATAAACAGAATGTGTCTTCAGGCCAGATTTGGCTCAGACATGGTTTCCAATATCCTTGGCCAAGAATGAAACTTCCACTAACAACTTCACTCTATAATACAAGCACAGTCTAGTAGTTTGACAGCCTAGTAGTATACAGCTGGAGTTCCGGAAGAGAAGAGATAGTAAAGACAGTTTGTATAAGCCAAAGTCTTTGCCATCACTGACTGAAAAGTAATTGGAGAAATAAAAGCATTTCACTATCTTTTTATCCCAAGTACATGGGAATGTGGACGTGACTTTATTAGAAGAAATTCGTGATTCAGTGAAAACTTGTGTTAGAAAAATGAGTTTTCCAGCTCTGTCATTCTGATTTTGCCAAATGACAAATTGGTGTGTGTTTTGGGAAAGGACAGTTGTTGAGTTACTGATGAGAGGTACAGTTGTTTTTTCACCGTGCTCTTCCTTTCCCTTCCTTGCTGCTGGTGGCTGACCCCACTGTGTGCTGAGGGCTTTCCACGTCTCACATCCCTAACTCCTCAAAACATCACTTGATGAAATAGTTAACTACCTCCTATATACCCAACAGCCGTGGAGAGCCCACATCAAGCATCGAGTCCGGCCGAATGCCCCTTTCCCTCCCCATCCTGAACTGCTTCTCATGACTGCAGTAGTGGGGCTCAGAGTGGCACCGAATCAGGATCGTCTTGGGAAGGTCGAGTGAAGGAAGCGTTTGTGTAAAACACAGTCATTTGGGTGGTCTGTCTGGAACAGGTCCCCAGGAAGTCCCCAACACAGTCGGACTCCCAGCGCCTGCCCCCGCGCCTCTGCAACCCAGCGACCCGCCGGCGCCTCTGCCAAGCTCCTCGGCGCGCATGCTCCGTGCGGGGCTTCTCCGGCGACCCAGGATAATGAGCGCCGGGCCCAGGGGGCGGGCCGAGCGGCGACTGCTGGAGCCGGGAGCTGGGCTGCGGCCCCGGGGCGCTGTGCGCGGCTGCTACGGGGGCGACAGCGGCGGCTAGCGCTCTGCTTGCTAGAGTGTGGCTTGCTCTCCCAACGCGCACGCCCGCTCGGTCCCCAGAGCCCTCCAGAGGTGACTCGGGCGGGCCGGGCGGCGTTGCCTGCTGGGAGGGCGAGGATGAGGCAATGAGGAGACAAGCTGCCGCCGCCGCTCTCCGCCAGCCGCGGCCGTAGCGGGAGTTGGGGCAAGGGCGAGGTCAGCTGTACTCCGCGCGGGTTGCGAACCCAGACAAAGGAGGAGGAGCCCCCCAAGAAGCGGGCCAGCGCCGCCGGGACAGGAGGCCGCCGCCTCGGTCGCAGCTGGGGGGTCGCCCGGACTCTCCGGCCGCCGCGCTTCCTTTGCCGACTCTGCGCGAGAGGCCGCCGGGGCCGAGGAAACCGCCCCCGGAGCCCCCGCCCACCCGCCGGCGCCGCCCCCGATCCGCCTCGGCCGTAGCTGCGGCCCGGGCGGGAGGTGGCGGCGGCGGCGGCCGGCTAGGCGAGGCGGCCCGCGCCCTGCCTGTCAGGCCACCCGCCCGGCCCGGCTCCGTCCGCGGGCCGCTCCTGATGCGGAGGCGCTGCCGCCGGGGCCATGCAGCAGGCGCCGCAGCCGTACGAGTTCTTCAGCGAAGAGAACAGTCCGAAATGGCGGGGACTGCTGGTCTCGGCCCTGCGGAAGGTCAGTGCCGGTGCCCGAGCGGCCGCGGGGGCCGAGGGAGGTGCCGGGGCGGCCGCGGAGCGTCTGCAGAGCCCGGCGGCTGGCGGGGGGGGGGGGCGCGGGGGAGTTGGGGGTTGCCCGGCTCGGGCCCCTGCGAGCTTCTAACGGGGAACTGCATGTCCTCCCAGTGCTCGGGTCCTGCGGGACGAGCTCTTGCTCAGTGGCTGGGTGTGAGGGGTTCAGAATTGCCTGTTGCATCCAAAAGGACGTTTTCTCAAGTTTTTGCCTGGCCCCGGAAGGAAGGTTTTGTTATGATCATAAAAATGGATTTCATGTTGCAGTCATTTCGTCAGGCAACTTCCGCCGTTGGCCAATTTGTTGTCCTCAGGCTGGATTAGGGCAAGAGAAAGTCTCGCTGGTGTTTACATAGTTTCTAAAACAAAAGTTCATTTCCAGGCCCGGTAATTACCTTTAATCAGGTTCTTTGGGGGTGTTCCCCTAGGCAGTTTGCTTGTCAAGGGTGTCCACTCACGAGACGGCGCTTTTTTGTAACATGGTTGTGTTTCACGTGTGAAATGTCAGTGGGCCCTAATACTGCTTTTACAATTCTTGAGGGAAATTTAAAGTGCTTCCCTCACTTCCTGCGAAAGGTGTCCTATCTGTTTACAAGAGATTTCGCCTGGAAAATTTGGTGTTTCTTCACTGGGTGCAGTTTAGACCTTGGAATCATTTTAAGGGGGGCAAAAAAGGTGTATCTCATAAAATAACCTGTCAGGTTTGGGTGTATACCCTGGGTGCATCTCTCTTGTAGGTGATGTGATCACC